TTCTCCACCCCGCACAACATGATCCACTCGACCACCATTACGGTTACCGCCAAAGAAAAACAGAAGTAAATATAATAACGGTATCCTGGTTGCCGCGCTCACAAAGTGAATTAGCTTGTTTTACAACGTCGTTGCCAAGCGACAAACACCCAATCCCGATGGTAAAAACCGGGGGGGACGGCTTGTTTCACAGCGTTGTTGTCAAGCGACGAAAACCCAACCCCGATTGCAAACACTGGGGGGGTACGGCTTGTTTCACAGAGTCGATGCCAAGCGACGAAAACCCAACCCCGATAGCAAACACCGGGGGGGGCTGGGGGGGGGTGTACTCATACTCATACCCATTGTCGTGCATGCCGTAGTCGTTAGACCATTGACCTCGCATCCCTACAAAGCCGGGACGGAGCACGCCGGGTTCTCACCGGACCAGGCTCTCACATCACCAAGCGCGAAGCGCCGTGAGATATTCGGCGAGTCGCATGAAGGGTGCGCTGCATCCTGCTAAGGGTGTTCGGCATCTTGTGCTTACTTCCTTGCGTGCGTATGACTTGCTTTATTCTCTAGTGCTTTACTTCCAGAGATGGTTGTAAGCACTGTGTAACTGCCTCGAGGGTGCTTGACCATTTTAACACACCGTGTTGCGATCATCCCCCTTGCGAGGAGTGAGTGTTCTCGACCCCGCACAACACGATCTACTCAACCACCACTCATGGTTGCCCCAAAAAACACAGTAAAAAAAGAGGCAACAAAAACCAGCGGCAACCTGGTTGCCGAGCTCACGAAGTGAATGGGCTTGTTTTATAACGTCGTTGCCAAGCGACGAAAGCCCAACCCCGATGGCAAACACCGAGGGGGGAGGCCGAGGGAGGGGGGGGGGATGCAAATTGTACATTGGAAAACTAAGTCGAGACTATGGGATGGACACGGTCTCCAACGGTAAGAACACTTGATGTATTGCACCAGAATTCCCAGCCCGTGGAATAAATCCTACTACCAGTTGGACCCATGTTCAATTGTGGCGCTAGCATGGAAAACTGATCCTCTCCATCCGGCCGACTTTGGTTGTGACGTTTTGAGTGGAACCATCCGAAGAGCAATAGCCGCCACCCTCTCAATGAAAAGGCTACCCAGTATGGAACACCGTTGTTTTCTCTGCCCGTGCCACTGCTTGGACACTGGAGCAGACTTTTCTGTATTTGTTTATCCTGCACCACATGCAGCTGCTGTAGTGGACAATATGGGGGTGGGGGGGACGGTTTGTGTCTTTCGGTTTGCATATTTTGGTCATGCCCAGATCCTTGCATGGAAGTTCCATTCCATCTCGCAATTGGATCCAACCCGTCCCAGCCCGAATCGCGTTCTGTTGCGCAAAGACAGCAGCGTGTGGCGGCAACAGCAACAACCAAGATGCCGCCCCCCCCCAAGACAAAGATGACCGTGCTTGCGGTGCTCCTCGCCGCGGGGTGCTCCTCTCCCGCCGTAGCTGTCGCCTCCGCCGGCGGCGGCAAACACGGGCCGACCTCTCCCGCCACCGCCGGCTTCGTTGCCCTTCCCGCAAGAACGTCCGCAGTATCAGACGGTGAGAGATCAGCAGACCCGTTGTTTCTCGGTTTTTTGTGTTCGGGATGGATGGCGGAGACGCGACTAGGTGTGTTTTTCCTCGGACACCGCAGTTCCCAAAACCTGGGGACCGTTGCAACCGTGTTGCGTTGCAACCGTGTGGTTGATACGTTGACTGCCCCTCCTCACGTGTCGTCCTCCCTGTGCCGACAGAGCCGAGATTACCCGTGAGGTCGAAAAGAATACCAACGGCGAAAACCTCGCTGCCGGGGAGGCTTTATTTGTCGGCAGCTGCCGACGCCCCGGCGACGGGGGCGTCGTCGTCCGTTAAGGAGGACGAGAAGAGGGCAGCCGTCAAGTCCGCCTTGCTAGGCGTGTTCGGAGAGGTGCGGCGAAACACGATGCAGCGAACCTTGAGTCAGGTCGTTACGAGCGAAACTTGAGTAGTCACTCGGTTGTTTGTTGCCGTACGCGGCCTTGGACGTACTTTTCCGCTCCCGGAGACACCTTCCCCGCTAGGGTAAAAGAAGCGGGAACAGCGCAAGCCCCGTACTGTTCACTGCGAGTGAGTGAGTGAGTGAGTGAGTGTGTTCATCACCGAAACTGTGGCGATACCTGATCCTGCGGCAGTGGACACGTGAACTTGCTGGATAACCCACGAGCACTGCCAGTATTTGAAAGTGTGGGGACGTGGACAGCTAGCGTTCTCGACAACCCTTTTCTCCGATCAAATGGGTTGGTTCCTCGATTTTCCGTCTCCATTCACATCACATCATCACGTTCGACCCCATCATCGCCCCAAAGTCGGTTTTGTCCAGGGGATTACGTTCTTGTTGGTGGTCTACTCCTCCTGATCGCTCCACACGGGCTGGATAGAGGCAGCGCCACAACCCTCTCTCTGAAGAAGCGGTGCTTGGGGCACGGCTCTTGCGTCTTCTTACATAGACTATATTGCTGGACGGACGTTCCTACCAAACGTAACGATCGTGAATACTCCGCCCTGAACAACGGTTATTTTTCCTTTTTTTTTTTGCTCAGGGCAATCGACAATGGTGAATAACGAGGATTATCTTGCCGCAGAACGTTACATTCTGCCCTGAGTCCCACCATCCCTGCCTGTCTAGGTATCCCTCCTACCCTCCAACATAACGTTTTTGTTTGTTTCAGAGCGTTAAGGATGGCGATGAGGGCCAAGCGACACCGGGCGACCCGATTCTGGCGTGCCCGTCGACTCTTGGTGACCTCACCGATGGCGTTCGATCGTACGGAGGCATGGGGCCGGGTTCGTTGCTCGTTGCGTTCAAGTCCTCGAACAAGAGGCCAGGGGTGAAGGTGAGACGGTAGCCCTTAGGCCAGTGGAGGTTGGAGAGAAGAGATGAAGAAGGGAGTCGGAATACAACACCCCCATTACAACGCTACAACGCGTGGTGTCGCTGTTGGGTGGTCTTGCTTGGGTGTGAGAAGACGATTGGAAGCAGAGTTTTCCCACATTAAGTGAAGCTGTTCGCGCTGTTTTGCTACCCGTTGAGTAGTTTGTTTTTTTGCGTGCGAACCCTCGGAAATACGGCGGGACAAACCTTGGCCATGGGTGTCAGGGAAACAAGGTATACGAAGCACAAGAACAGTACTCTGATCGGTGCTGTTTGGAAGTGGGAAAGGAGTTTAGGGGGCGGTCGTTGAATGTCACGTGATCCCGAGAGTATCCCTTCAGTGTTAAACCCCGGCGTCGATTGAAGGCACGTATCAATCGTAGTACATCATGTCTCGCATGCTTCGATTGGCGTTCCGGGTCATTGCTAGTTGGACGCGCGAGAGAGAGCGGTCTGCAAGAACTGGCGGATTGGAGGCACAAAGGGTCTTGCACCGTTTATACCCGTGACGACAGGGGCTGTCCACGGGTCGGCCTGTGTCGTGTCGTGTTCATCCTCTCACAACACGCCGAAAAGTTGGTCAGTAGGCGTCAGCGTCAACCATTTCCTGCGGACATTGCAGTGCGACATCGTACCGGTTAACTCCTGTTCCCTTATCACCCCATTCATGCATGCATACACCGCGCTTGACACCGACACCTCCACCCGCCGTCCCCGTTCCAGTACCCGATAGGGACCGAATTCGTCGATTTCGCGGAGCCCCTGAAGCCGACCTGGAGCCTGAGCAGGGGAGAGGCCGTCAAGGAAGGCCAGTTCCAGACCCCGCTAGTGTCTTGGCTGTACGAGCGCGGCTGGAGGCAAGGGTTCAGCGCCAACGGCTTCCCCGGGATTGACGAGGAGTTCCGATTGGTGAGGCGTGATTGCTGTTGCAGGGATGGAGCGGGGGGAGGTTGATCGATGCTGACGGGCGATTCGCTCGTGCTGTTGGCATCTGCGATTGCTTCGAGATGTGTGTTTTCTGTGGCTGCGAAAACGCCTGGATATCGTGGCAACTGGTTGTCTGTTTTTGGTGAAGAGGACTAGCTACTTCCCCCCCCGGGGCATCCTCACCACAGCATCGAACCATTACCAAAACGAACATCATTGTCGTCGTACATCATACATGGGGTGCTCAGGCTAGAGTTAGTCGTTGTCACAACAGCACCGTCAGAGGAAAAGGTGGAGACTTCCTCCTGGGTAATCCCGGTTGTCGCGTCAAAACATGGACTTAGCATCACAGAGTACAAGACTGGCGCCCAGGATAATCGAGACGAACAATAGAAGAGAGCAATAGCCCACGTTTTTGACACAATGCTACTATAATACTATTGTACCTCGCGGTGGTCACAGGTGTCGGAGTACTTTTCGAGCACGGGGGCCGACGGTAAGGCGGTAATCGACCTGTCCTGCGGGAGTGGTCTCATGATGCGAAGGCTCGTCTCCTCGGGCAGGTGACTCGTAGTCTTAGTCCTTGCACACCCAGGCAGCAGCTTCGCTGGTTGGTCCTGGTTCATTATTCTGTGCCAGCACAGCCGTGGCTCCGATGCAAGAAAGTGGTGTGACCAAGGCCTGCGACCCTCTTACATCAGAGCCCCCTCTTAAACCGGAATTTGAAGGTGCCATCAAATATTCTACAGCAGTAGCGGGTCGAGTCCGTGGCAACCGATTCGACCCTCTTTACCTTTTATCGGAGCCACCTCTGTAGATGAAAAAACACGTCTGTCGTTGGTTGGGTTGGATAGGTTTCACGTACCTGAACGCATTGTTGGCATTGTTGTGTCGTGAGGGATGTTAGTTTGCTACCTAGGGCAGCTAGACTCACGTCTAGGCACGCCCGTGTGTGACCCGTCGCCCCGCAGGAGCTTCAGAGAGAGTTGTTGTTGTTGTTGTTGTTGTTGTTGTTGTTGTTTTTCTCCCATGATTGGATTCTGTCGTCTGCCCTTCTGGCCCCTATCCTCCACTTCTACCAGCTAGACGACCCAACCGGGGTCACACAGGAGGGGGGGGGGTGGACCCCCTCCTGCGGTTCGTACCTGAGATGTTTCTATCGCGAGAAGGGCACAGCATTCGCTCCCCTCGCGACTCATGAGATCGATCAAGTTTACTATCAATGAGCTTTGCAGCGCGTCGCTTCCAACGGAGACCAGGAATTAATTAGCGAGAAAAAACTCTCTCCGTCGGGACTCGAACCCATGACCTGGCCCTTAGCAGGCAGCGAGGCTACCCACTAGACCACCGGGGCGACCAGACATTCAATCGCCACGCCTCAACCACACATTCAACGCGAAATGTTTTGGTCCACCCCCTGTTGGTCCACGTTTTTGAGCAGGTACTCGCGTGTCATTGGGGGGGACCTGTCGCCCACCATGCTGGCTGAAACTGCTCGGCGCTTCCGGGAGGAGGGCTTGGGGGCTCCGGAGCTCATCAGGCACGTTATTCTTGCTGTTTTGCCCATAGTATCTCTGTTTTTTTCACCCCACCCCGTGGAGAATACCCGTTGCTCACATTTTTTTAAGTCGGGCATTTTCTTAACGTTTTCTGTCCAAACGTTTGAAGGATTGGGCCCCCGAGCCACCGAAAAGACGCGCAACGAGGTAACACCCCAATCGAAGGAACTTGGCGCTAGGAATTGGCTACCTTGACTGGCTGGCTACTGTTGGAGGCGGATGCCCCAATCCTTGACCATGGTCTCAAACGTATTATTGTTGAGGATATAAAATAAATAGATTTATGCATGGATAGATGGTCTCAGTTGTAGATGTAGCCATTCGATCTTTTTGGGGAAGTACGGCGGTCTGTATGAGTCCGATACCCCTGAACACGGAGTCTTTGGCATCCCCGCCCACTGCTCCACGGCTCCAGGTGCCTCAAGAAAGATTAGTTCTGCCCGACTAGCTCCCTTTTGCCAGGAGGGCAAAGAGCCAGCTGCCCGCAACAAAGTCTACCCTCGCCCTCCAAAAGCGAAACCTTCGATCCCCGACTCGCGCGCCTTGCCTCTGTCCCGTGTCATTTCATCGTTAAACATATGCTATGGTACATACATGCACGAAAAATGTCCCAAACGGAGGGATGGAGATGCTGCTTTCTTGATTCTTGTCGCAGCCCTACCCGCGGTCCTATGCTGCACCACAGCCGCACTCCACTCTACATGTACACACCGCCCTACAGCGCGGTACTAACTGCAGTTTGGCGTAGCTTGCACGAACGGCTTGTCCCCAATCCTCGAACCCCCAACGTGCAAACCGTTTCTCAGGTGCGACGTCAGCCGGCTGCCGTTGAAGACGGAGTCCCTCGACGGCGTCCACGCGGGTGCGGCTCTGCACTGCTGGAGCAAGCTGGAAGACTCGCTGTCGGAGGTACACCGGGTCCTCAAGCCCGGCAGAGGGTTCTTCGCCACAACCTTCCTCAAGTGGGTGTGCCAACAGTCTCCCGATGGATTTGGCGCTCGACAGCATCCATATGATTGCGCCATTCAATACGCGCTCTCTTGGTTGAGTGATACAGCGCGTGAGAACGAGAGAACGAGAGAGACAGGGGAGAGTGAGGACTGATTGTAGCTGCGGTCTAAGAACGATTAAGCTCTGTTGGCTGAGTGACCTTGCTCGCCGTCCGGCTGGCTACAATACCTTTACCCTTTCGTTTGCTGCTCCGGCGATAGTGGTAGGTCCCAACGCGGGAGGCTTAAGTGCTCTTCATTACTTAACACCACCGCTCACTCGGGCGCCTTCGTTGTTCTTTTTCTTGCGTCTGCATACCTCGTGATTCCTTATACCTGGAGAATTTCACCGTACGGCCTTCATTTGTCCCTTCGTTATTGTTGCTCCGTTACAGCTCCGCTGTCATTGGAAATTCCGTTGGAAATTCCCGGAGGGGGGATGGGTTCAAGTTCTTCCAACTGGCAGAGCTGGAGCAATTGATGCGCAACGCCGGTTTCGAAGACGTGAAGGTGGGTCGGGTTAGCAGAGCAAAACTCCAGCGCCGTCTGCTAGAAAAACAATCCTTACCAGTGGCTATTCGTCGCCAACAACTCCGTTGGGGTCGTCTTGTAGCGCCGGCTTTTTTCTTTCGTCAAGGTGGAGACCCTGCCTCTCGAGGCACGCACCACGAAAACCAAAGCGACCCCCCCTTTTTTCTCTGAGCCTCACCATCTGAAGCCGTACGTGCCATTAATACTTCTTGCCCAACGCAATGGCTATATGTACCTCCTCGTGCTCTCCCCCAACGCTTTGTTCTGCAAACCGCAGGTGGTAAAGGAGGGGCGTGCGTGCGCGATTGTTCGGGCCACCAAACGGGCAGAATAAGACGTCTCGCAGCAGTCAATGATATGGAATAAGATTACACACCCAACCGTTGGTGTTGATTGTGTTGTGTTGTCAGGTGACATGGCGTCTTTTATTGTCGGTCGGGACAGCACATTTCCGTCACCCATGGAACCCGGTTGATGCTTCAGAACCGTAAACGGAAAAGGTGTGTCGGCTGGTGCAAGAATAGACACGCGCGTGAGTGTGCCGAGATCTTGAGGTTTTGAGTGTTGCTTTTCGTGGCGAAGATTCAGCAAAGCGCATGTGCTGGTATTTCTCTGCCACGAGATTTCCCCCCGGTACAATTTTGAACGGTGTACAGGCGACCTTATTGGTGGTTGGTGGGTTTGGTGTAGAAGGAACGCGGGTTTCTATTTGGAAGAGGAGATTGGAGGAAAGGGCCGTTAGTATCGTGGATGCCCGACCATCTGCAACAACTCTGTCGGGATTGCATGTACCGGGAATCGGTTTCCCACTTGGATTTGGGATTAGTGCCCTTGTTCTCAGTTGGCAAGGTAGGGTGTGGCAAGCTGTTTTTGTGCTTTTAAGTCATTTCTTGAAAACGTTGTCACTATTCCATGCAGAGAGGTACTGTGGAGCGCGTGGTGGGGAATTTCTGCCATACACCGCGGGCTATGCAATACGCTTGTTATTCATACAAGGGAAGGTGCGACCCTTCCTCTTTTTTCTTCTTGAGGCCTGCAGACCCTTGCTTGCAAAGAAATTGGCCTGGTCTCTGCAACTGCAGCGCGTATACGGCTGAGGCAACAAAAGTTCTGCACAACAGAGGCGAAAATTGCGTGGCCCTATGCATTCGGCAGCGGCAAAAAAAATACACAAGCAAGAGCGAGGGTTCACCACTACGTTATTTGTTGCACTTGCGCGGCGCCTCGGGGAGTGCCTGCTTTGCCGGTACAAGTTTTGGCGCACTCGTCGCGCTAAGCACTGTGTCTACGCCTGTTGACCTTTTTACAAGGCGTCGTCGTTTCCTCCTTCCATGTCGTTCTGGGCGCCGGCCTCCTGCATCCCGAACGAGGTCCGCCGTGAATTGAAGCAGGCCCATGCCCCGCTCTCCGTGGCCTAGGCCCAACACCATCGTCCTCGTCGCCGTCGGAATTCCTGTCGTGGAACGCCTACCTAATTTCTCCATGTGCCTCCTTGAATAGTATATGGTCCATGATCGTCGGCGTGAGGAGTTTCCTTGCTCCTGAGCTGCGGGAGTTGCATGTCCGGGTAGAGGAGATGGGACAGCTCCCGGCCGTTGGTGAAGTGGTCAAGGCCTGGGGGGTCTCTTGGGTTTCTGGTGAGGTCAACGAGCAAATCCTTCATCCATCTGAGGCAGTTTTGGGTTGCATGGAAAACGGCAACCCCGTTCTTTGGATAGGCTCCGAGTGGATCTCGATGAATAGATTTTGCCCTTGTTTGCTGCACCTCTTGAGTTTATTGCTGGTCACGGTAGCGTATTTCCGCCTGGTTCCGCTCCGGCCTCTTTCTGATCTTCATTCGTGGGTGGCGTAGGCATGATGATCAGATCGACCAACCCGTTTTTGTCGTCCTCGTGCTCTCCCTTGATGTTTCATTTCATGTCACTCGCATGGTATCTGGCCACCAGCGATCTCGGACGTACCCTGCGTTTGCTTCGCGCCGCTGTTTCGTTCGCGAGCACGATGTCAGGGTGGGTACCCTTGCGGGCAGGGTTTCCGGTAAGTATTTGAACCACACGTCCGCGCCGCCATCGTGGATGTCCAGTACCTTCACCACGACATCAGTCATGTTCCTCGTCGGGGCAGATAGGGGAACGCCACACCGTCGATGCCCTCCGTATTGATTGGGGTTTCTCCTGAGGTTGTCGTCTTGGCCGAAGCGAAGGTTTAGTCTGTGCGCCGGTTGTAGAAAGGCTACGTACGGATCATATTCTAGAGCTCGTTGCCCTCATGGTTTGCCCCCTATCCACCTGCTGCTCATCCTGCTTAGGCCATGGTCTCTTTGCGTGTCAGCGTGTGAGATGCATGAAGCAGATGTTCCTGTTTGCGTCTCACGATTGGGTCCCTCAAACACGGCCTACTACATAGAGACTACACAGTATACATGCTCGAACCTCTTCGTATTCTGGAGACATTCGAGCTTAGACTATGTTGTATATACTCCCAAGTGTCTCACGAAACGTGAGACGTCCCGGACGTCCCGAATTTATATACCGGTTAGCGCGGTCGACGCTCAAAGTGTAACAAAGACACCGCCGAAGGATGTTACGCCCTTAAATTGTGGCCCCGGGGCTCCTCGGCTCGCGCGTCCAGAACTCACCGACCAACAGATGAATAAATCTAAACCGGAAAACCTGAGATCACGAAATGGAATTTTCCTCGCTCGATGTTGGATGTATGTTGTGTGTTTTGTTCCTGTTGTGGAGTCCGAAAGAATCCCCTTATACCAGCTCTGCACAAACTGATTACAGACATGCAAACCAGGCGTGCAGACATGACACAACGTGTAGCACGAAGTAGGCTCGTTTCAGGGGCTGTTTGGACCTTGTCCACGTTTTATGGCGTGTTGGCGTTAAGGTGCGGCGTAATTAGCTATTGTCCGAGATGACGTGTGTCTTTGCATGAAGTTGGCTCTGTGTCAACTCCATGAGTTCAGAGAAGAGAGAGCTAACCGGGCAAGGGCAAACGTGAAGTGGGCATGTGTTGAGTACCAGTTCGACTGCAGAGATCTAGACAGAGGTTGAGTTCAGCATGTGTGTGCATGGATAGGTTGAACAGCAACAGCAGTGTTGGTATGCAGCTGTGTCAAGTGCAGCAGCCGCCGAGAGACAAATCAACAACAAGTTTCCTCAACAGCTATCTGTCCATTCCCTTCCTCGACGACATCCGCAAAGACGATCAAGTATCCATGTGAGGTAAGAACCTCGAACCTAGTGCAGAACCTTGGTAATGCAGAGCCGCACTGCTCTACATTTGTTTGATTGGGTAATTGGGTCATCAACAGAACCCGAATACCAAGGATAACATTGGCGTCGTCGGCAGGAGCCGATTGACCGAGTGCACAGTACGAGGTTGAGTGTAATTAATTTAGCCGAACAAGTCTTGTGTCCTGGGGCTGTGGGCGGTAAAGAAGAGGGGGCTGACCGCTTGATCCGTGCTGCAACAGCTTGCCCTTCTGAGAAGACGCCTGCAGCTCGAAACCGATCCGAAACCCGAAAAAAACCCAAAACCCGAACCGAAAGTAGTAGGGAAAATCACGGGAAGTTGGCGGCCGTGAGAAAACCGGCGTCCAAGACGACGCCTGCGGTAGTAAGCCCATTTCCCCAGGGTAGTTACTGTTTAGTGTAGCGAGCATCCAGCGCGTTGCTAGTTCTTCCAGTGACTACCGAAAATCCAAATCCACCCGCGGTAGGTGAAACCTAGCCGCGCGATGGTGGTACCATCCCACCAAATCGGTTGGGTGACAACGGAGTGGAAGAAGAGAAGAGTCGTTCCCCGCCGTCGGCTTCCCCGTTGGCCGATCTTTAAGCAAGTGACGCAAACGGCGCCGCGCCTGCGATAACTCGTAGCGCTAGCCGCTTGCATCTCTATCGGCTGTCCCCGTTCTCACCGGTCGGACGCGTATATGCCTACTCTTGCCGACGGGGGCGGCAAAATATAACAAAGATGACTGATCCAACAAACACAAATGCAAAAACCGTCGTAGCGCGAGTTCTGCCGTGTGTATCGAGGGTTCGCCCCGTTTGCCTGATTGAAAAAAAAACATCCTCCAAGCTCTAGTCGAGCAGTAGCAGGACGCCATCTGTCTGAATTTCTCGCCGAGTGTCAAGCAAGGCGTTTCAATTTTTTGTTTGGCAGATTTGTTCTTAAGTGCTGCATGCATTCACAGACCTAGCCCCTTTTTTCTGTCTCCGCAGACGAAGTGGAAATAGAGCTTGAAGTGCAGCGGGCACCGCCGGTTGCCATCACCGGTCACCGTATCAGTAGAGGTCCAGGGGGTTCCATAGCGGTACAACACGACCCGCGTTGGCGCGGACACCGCCAGCCCGCTTGGGAATCTTAAGCAAACATCCAGCAGTATGGTAATTTTGTGCACACGTATTGGGTGGCATTACATTACGTCAAGTAGGTGCCGACAATGAGTGCACTGTGACTATAATATGCTTGCCGCGCTCCGCGCGCAAGCTCGCTCCCGTAATTCCCTTTATGTGCCACCAGATTACGCGTTACTGGCTACATGGGAGCGTGGTCCGACCTTCCTGTCGGCGGAGATGAAAGGGGGGCATGTTTACGTGCGGTCGAAGGAGGAGGGCTGGCAGCTGGGGGTGGTGCATCACGTTTCGAGGGCGCGGGCGAAGGACCTCCCGTGCAACGTCCATTTCGTCGACCTCGAGCGTCGTTTCAACGTGTCGCCGTCGCCGGCGAAATATTGTACGGCGGTGGATGGTCCGCCTGGCCCATGGTGCTTTCTGGTGCACATGCAGTCCGGGAGCGTCCGGCGGAACGGGACCTGAGGGGTGCGCTGTGGTGGTGGTTTCGTCGTGGTGGTAGGGGTGCGCTGTGGCGGAGGTTTTGTCGTGGTGGATGGGGAACGCTGTGAAGGAGGTTTTGTCGTGGTGGACGGGGAGCGCTGCGGGAAAGAATTTTCGTGGCGGAAGAGGCGAGCACGTCGGCGCCTAGGGGATTTTCGTGGTGGTGGGGGGAGCGAGACGGCACCTCGAGGGTTTTTCAAGGTGGAAGGGGAGCGCGAGACGGCGCTTCGCACGACTGCCTACGACCTCATCGGCTCTTCGAGCACCTTCAAACGACCCCGCGGCGTATTTCGTAACTTCAAACGACCTCGCCGGCGCCCTTCGATTTCTTTTTGTTTGTGGATGTTGTGTGTGTGTTTCCGGATTACTTGTCTTTGGTGTTGCCTTCTGATGCCGATCATGTGTGTGTGTGTGTGTGTGTGTTTTTTTTTTTCCGGTGTTGTGTGTCGGTTGTTGCTGTTTTGCTCTTGGGTCTTGGTAGCGACGTGCCGTCCTTTTTCGGGAGGATGCGGGGGAGAGGCACAGGCCATTCAAAAATAGCCTGTGTTCGGTAGAAACTTGGGAGTTTTTGCCGAAAATTTGTGGGCTGCCCCGCCTCAAGGAAGTTCGTTTCAAAATTTTGGTTGGTTTGTTGGTGCCTTGGTCACTGCGGGTGCGAAGTCCGGGAGTGTTTGAGTCCTCGAAGGGAATGTCTTCGTGCGGTACTTCTAGGTTAGGGGGTCAATGTTTCGTTCAGGTTCCACCGATTCCGGGCAGGAAGCTTTCGAAGCTCATTTTCAACTCGATGATATCGTTCTCATGGTGGACATTCTTCGGTGAACCTTGGAGTTCCAGGGTAGGTAAAACAGCAAGGTTCGTTGACTTTTCTTTTTCCCCTAAATTAAGACCGTCACAGGGCTGCTCTCCTGTAAAAAATATTCCGCAAGGACGCTGAAGCTGAAAATGTGCTGTGTCTATGTCAAAGTCCTGTTGTCCTTGTCAAGTGCTGTGTCTATGTTTGTCCTTGTCAATGTGCTGTGTATATGTGAAAATTCAGCTTCAGCCTTGCGTCGGGAGAGTGCTCGTATATCAGACACGCGTGGGGAGGAAATTGACCAAAGGATCGTTGATGTATGTGTCTCGGGTGGATTTCATAGCTTCAAAAAGCTGGGGTGTGAGTCACAAAACAACGTGAAGCGATTGATTTAGTTGTTGGGAGTCCTTTTGGGGGTCGGCATGCACCGTCCGGTAGCGCCGATTTCAACAGTCAAATGTCCGATTGAGGGGGTCACAGGGGTTCGTTGCCGCCTTTATCAGGGGCTAGTACGACGTCTTTCTTACCGGGGACAAAAATGCTTTCGTTCAGTAGCATTCCTAGTGATCAGGTATTGGCAAGTCAGGTAAAGGTTGTTTGGCCGGGATTTCTTGGGGTTGGTGCCGGTTGTCCTTTCCAAAACACGGCGGCGCGGCACGGGGTAAAACGGATTCTTGACGGCAGACGGTAGGATGAACATTTTTCTTGGGAATCGTGTATGGTGGTTTGTATAGGGGTACTTGGTCCCGAAGGGATGAAATGCTGAGGGCTTGTGTCGTGAGTGTAAACGAGGTCCCGCTTAGGATGGAGCTAATTTCATGGGGTTTTGAATATTGCTGTCTTGCCACGGCGGTCGAGACGGATAAACGTTGATGTTTGTAATTTTGTTGAAGGTTAAGAGCTGATGCGATCGAGACTGTACCAGTTTCAGTATGGAAATAGTACTGGACGCTGGTTTCTCTTCAGGGATTCATGTTTTTGGATTGCTCTTTGGAGATATCATAATATTTCCCAATATGCCAAAAAACAGTGTGGGCGGATGTAGTACGAAGTAGGCTCGTTTCAGGGGCTGTTTGGACCTTGTCCACGTTTTATGGCGTGTTGGCGTTAAGGTGCGGCGTAATTAGCTATTGTCCGAGATGACGTGTGTCTTTGCATGAAGTTGGCTCTGTGTCAACTCCATGAGTTCAGAGAAGAGAGAGCTAACCGGGCAAGGGCAAACGTGAAGGCATGTGTTGAGTACCAGTTCGACTGCAGATATCTAGACAGAGGTTGAGTTCAGCATGTGTGTGCATGGATAGGTTGAACAGCAACAGCAGTGTTGGTATGCAGCTGTGTCGAGTGCAGCAGCCGCCGAGAGTCGAATCAACAACAAGTTTCCTCAACAGCTATCTGTCCATTCCCTTCCTCGACGACATCCGCAAAGACAATCAAGCATCCATATGAGGCAAGAACCTCGAACCTAGCGCAGAACCTTGCTAACGCAGACCCGCACTGCTCTGCATTTGTTTGATTGGGTAATTGGGTCATCAACCGAGCCCAGTCCATCAACCAGCATCCGATTACCAAGTATACAAATGACACAGCACATTTGAGATTGACTGACATCTATCGACTGAACCAGGTTCTAATCTGGAACCCGCAGTTGTGAACCTGGTTCTTGAGCCTGACCGCGCTAACCGAACTGATGCTTGACGCTTGACGCTTGACGCTTGACGCTTGACGCTTGACGCTTGACCAGTCCGCTTGACGCTTGATCCACGTTGCACCTGGCACTTCAAGCCAGTACAGCAGCACAAACGAAAAATCACGAGGGCTGCAGCACGTACTCAAGGCCACCCCCCTTCGGCGATTGCGAAGAAGAGCAGAGGGTGAGTTTTGTGCGCGTCACTCGGTAGCAAATTGTTCCGTGGTTTCCCCGTTTGCCTGTTTGTTGAGTCACGCCTAGTGTTGCCCTTATGCGCTGTCGCCAAGCACGAAGGTCCCCGAGAGCTGTGCCGAAAAGTCCTAGGAGCTAGCTGTGCTATTCAGGTTCCGACTGCCTCGGTTGACGAAGGAAGTCTTCTGGGATGCACAGCACCTCCTACGTTGAGTGTTTCGGAACGACGCTGATCTACAACAGCAGTCCCACGACTGCCGTGCCGGGGTCTTCGCCATGTGCGAACTTCAACAGATCCAAGACATCGTAAAGAACATGGCAAGCTTCTTCTTTAATGAGTCCCAGCAAATCGACGTGCCCAAGACACAGGCCCGTTTCATCTGTTGCAGGGGAACGAGCACTGTAACCAAACTGACACGCTTTGCCAAATTTTCAGCAGTGTTGGTTAGACGATTGGTGTGTGCGTCCAATCAGAGCACCCATCAATACGGCAGTATTGTTGCAAGACACGGAAGAACTTCCAACAATTATCTATGTTTGAGATGGGTAGAGCCGGGTAGGTACTCATCTCCCACCAATCAAACGTCGATTTTGTATGAAATTTTGTAAGGCAGGGACAGATGAAAGGGCGATGGGCACGACGTTCTCGGGAGAATCCCCGAAAACCTCTTGCACAGCAGCACCACACACACCATGCAGACACCGTACGAGACACCCAGCACAGTAGCATACGGACTGCTGTAGTCCAAGGGCAGCCTAAGGCACACATCTTAGGAGGCGTTGAGTGTGACTCCTGCAGCCCGTTGCCTGCTGTCGGCAGCACAAATAAGCGAGTGACCACGCAAGTCAATCTGCGGTCCGTCTGCATCATACTCAACCTACCGATCTTTGGAGCTTCCCACACAGACCCATCCCCACAACAGAGACAGCGACTTGTACACACTGCTGTAGGCCAAGGCCGGCCAAAGGCACACATCATGGCTGGCGTCGGAAGCTAGTTTTAGACCCCGAGGCCTGCTGCTAGCAGCGTAAAAGCGAGGGAACATGCGAGGGTACACAAGTCAAATCTGTCTGCGGCCTGTCTTCGTCTACAGGCCAATCTTTGCTTCAAGCACAGAAGCACCCCCGAAACAGAGACAAGCGACGCACACGACGCTGTGGGCCAAGGGCGGCCAAATGTACACATCGTAGGAGGCATCGGGAGTGATGTTTAGAGCCCGTTGCCCGCTGCTAGCAGCGAAACCCAGGAAAGCAAGTGCACACACACGCATCCTGCACGGCAGCAGCAACAGCAGCAGCTTGATGGAGCTGATGATTATGAGAGCTAAACAGCGCTCTCAGTCGTCCCCTGACTGACTGGTGGTGTCGGGTGGGGCGTGAGCGTGTGCACTGGTGACCTCTGTAGTGGCGTAGGCTTCATCCATATCTATCTACGCTTTGACGTCTCTCTCCGCCCCTTCTTTTCGCGCTCCGCGCGAAAATAATTTGATTTTTTTGTTGGACCCACATGTATGGGAGGTTTGCCTCAGATCTATCTAAGCAACTGCGTGCGTCCGCTCTATTGGGCTGGACAGTTTGTTCTTGATAGTAGACAGAAGTTTTTGACCGAGACCCGCACGCCCTTTCTTTTGCTTTACTAGGCCAGCCTACGCGGTATCGCTTTGCATTGCTGGGGAGCAACTAGGATGGCGAGCTCCGCGCTTCCAATTGCGGTTGCGGTTGAAGGCAAACCAACAGGTACGTGCGTCCAACTACGTGTATTGCGGCGAGTTTCTACTGCTGTACGGCGGTGGAACAAAACTATCATTGTACCACCAACATCAGCGCAAGGAAGTCTGCTGCCCGTACTGCTGTAGGCATGCAATCAGCCCTTCACCCGTTTATGACGATGGAAGTACCCGGAAGAGGCACATGCTTTGACTTATTATTTATAGTATGAATTTCTTGTCGAACCAGCACTGTCTGGGCTCGCACACACGTGAGCGTACTGTCGTATAGCAGAGACGCCTACTGTCATCCTAGCGACGCTATATGCCAGGGAGAACGGTCCACGGTGTAATGTGCAGTTGAACAGCCCTCCTTGCCTGCAGTAGCCAACTGCTGTGGCAACGCCGAATACCTGAGAGCAGTGCGCACACTACACATACAGAGAACACCGGGCACTTGGGCCCGTTTGCGGCGGCGACGTGGTTCAAGAACATCTACAACATAGAGTAGGCCGTATCGTCGTCAAGGGTCCCACAACAAGGGGACTGAGTTGTTTTCTGCGTGGGCCACATTCTTGCGTGCCGTCCTGTCAACAACCTAGGAAGCGGCGTTGTGTGTTCGATTGCAGACGAGGACGACAAGGCGCCGCTCCTCGTGTTGCACCACCACACCAATGGCCGCGCATGGTTGAGAGGTGACGGGGGACCCTGGGAGGGCTGGGGACTTCAGGATCCGCTGGAGAGGTGGTCAGGCGTGGCTGTAAAGGGCGGGAGGGTCGTCGGTCTCAAGCTTTACCTGTGCAAACTTATGGGTAGGTGCAGCGGCTATTTTTCCCTGTGCCGCCGGTTGTTACCGCTCATGAACGTTTTGGGGATGGGTCCCGGGAGAGTGTTTAATGTCAAGGGGAGAATTAGAAACGGTTTGCACAGTCGTGGGCGGATGCACACGAAGAACGGGTTTCGTATGTGTCAATGATCTTAAGCGTGTGGGCGGGGCCGTACCTGAACGTGGTGAGCTACTGTAGCTCATCGGAGTCTACGTCCCACTCGAAACTAATGCAGCCCCAAAAGCCGCCCAATCACTCTGGCAGGCACAGGAGTGCGCAATGCTACCGTGATCGGACTTCAAGGTTTCGTATGACAGAGGTGTTCGCTTGTAAATCCCGCCGCGGAGAGGAAGCCTGTCTGCCAATCCCGTGGCTACTCAATCCATACCCTTTTCGATTGCACAGGTCTTGCGACCGAAAAACAGGGCACTGCCCATTTGGTCGAATATGAAGGTGCGGTGGTGGTGTTCGAAGTCAATTTCCACGCCGGACATGACCCTAAAACGCACCATGTCTTTCTCGCACGTGTTGCCAACAGGATTCATCCCGCACGAGCTCGGAAGCCTGTCCTGCTTGCTGTACTTGGACCTGGGGCGCAACCAGTTATTCGGTAAGTGAGAGGGTCCTTCGAATCTAGCCAGCCCCCCCGAAAATGCGACAAGACGTTGAGCCTACAGCTTCCCACTATCAGACGAAAACGAGGATTTTCCCCGGGGCAGGACGTAGTTGTGTGCGGTGCACGCACATGTTGATCGTGGCCTAGAGCTTGCGGCGAGACGAATCGTAGCGCGTTCAGCTTTTCGCACGTAGGGTTCACAAGTTCTCACGCGTCCATGTATCAAGCCGCAATTGCGATATTTCCCACAGCAATGTCCTATGTTGTACAGCTTAGGCTATCGGCTTCAAGCACGTGCAGTCATCCATCATGAAAATTGAAAAATAAGACGTGAAGAGGTTCTCTTGGCTTCCTTCGTTGGACGTGAAGCGACCACGTGCAGGACCTACGCACGTTCAGCCGGGGATACGTTGGAAGACTATTGTTCGGCGTGACAACACCGGGTAGCTTGTTGGGTTTTGTCGGAAGAGCCGGAAATAGTAAGATCGGCTTCATGACGCCAGGCGTAAGCTGCGCACGATATTGTGAGGACTGTTTCAACAGCTGTTGGACCGAAGTATCGTCACCCAGGAAACTGACTTTGCTCGGCGGACGTTTTCGGCTCACAAAACGAATGCGTATGGCTTTTGACAGGATCGATCCCGCCGGAATTCGGGGCACTAAGGCAATTAAGAACCTTGGACCTACATCACAATCAGCTATCAGGTTCGTTTGGTGGGGTGTGCGAATTCAATTCGGGTGTATGACTGCATTGTAGAGAGTGCCGTTGATCGCCTATTTTTGCAGATCCTGTACGTAGTGCTAAGCTCCGCATGTTCAGTCTTGGCGCCTTCGGAAGCGTTCACTGAGTGCAAGGGTTGTGAGCACGGCTACGCTCTTTTACCTCAAGAGCTGTATGCTTGGATTTTCATCCGCCATGCAATACATCAGAATAGGAGGTACTGAGGACAGGCAGCTTGTACCCTTGGGTGTGCGCGACATCCGCCCTGCCAACGCGTGGGCAGGACATGGGTTTTATCGGCCACACTCCGAGATTACACCCACAAGCCGTGCGATCATCCGACTTTCATGGTGCGATCAACGAATGCCCATTCCCTTGTCGATGTTTACTGCTCGCGTAGGGCCCATCCCCGAAGAACTGGGAGCTCTCAGCGAGTTGAGGGAACTCAGCCTCGGTTCAAACCAGCTCACAGGTACTGGGCGCGCCTCAAGGTTTGGTTGGTCGTCGTCTGAGGACGTTTTTGAAGAGTGATGGGCTTGTCCTACTGTAGACCACCACTACTGAGCGCGCTTAGGTCCATCCAAGGTTGCCGTGAACGGTATGCCACGGCAGGAACGGACGTCGAACATGATAAACTGCGTCGTCCTTTTGTGCATGTGCCGTCGGGATACAGGGTTCTTGCTAAGGATTGACATGTCTGTACATTTTTCTTCCTCGCCGTCGCTTCTTTCCCTCGAAGTGCAGGGTCTATTCCTGCCGCCCTGGGCCGCCTTGGTTCATTGGAAGTGCTACGGCTGACGGACAACATGCTTTCTGGTGTGTAAGGCTCTGGTTTGTAGTCTTACAGAGACTCTTCCTTGCACGTACCTACAATGTAGTGCTGAAACACTGGGAGGTCAGGTTGTTACCTAGTGTTCTTGTTTCTGATACAAATGCGGAGACCCAGGCCAAGTTGCCAAGAAAGCAAGCGGGCACACAACGTCCGGGAACACGTGAAAGGGCAATCCGAACTCGGTGTGGGGTATCACGAAACGCCTCTCGTGGTTGGCATCGTGCTGCCGGTTTGCGTAGGCCCTACGATAGTGACGGATGCTTTCACTCGCGCGCGACCAACATCTGCAGTAACAAGTCATGACGCGAACATGGTCTCAATGGCGTTATGGCTGGAAGGGTTGCGGCGGTGGATGCATACCCTTCATTGGCTACCGTTTGGCGCGTTACCTCGCGCGACCCGCGTTTTTGTTTTATGCATCGTTTCTGAAGCAATGAGCATACCATGATACCACCTTAGACCACCACCTACTTTTTCCCTCTCCCTCCCGAGCCTGGTCCGGTGAGAACCCGGCGTGCTCCGTCCCGGCTTTGTAGGGATGCGAGGTCAATGGTCTAACGACTACGGCATGCACGACTATGAGTACATCCCTCCCGGTCCGGTGTTTGCCTATCGGGATTGGGTTTTCGTCGCTTGGCAACGACGTTGTAAAACAAGCCAATTCACTTCGTGAACTCGGCAACCAGGTTACCGTTTTTTTTTTTTTCCTCCGTTTATTTTTTTTGGGCGGTAACCATAATGATGGTTGAGTAGATCATGTTGTGCGGGGTGAACCCTCACTCCGCGCAAGGGGGATGATCGCACCACGTTGTGTCAAAATGGTCAAGCACCCTCGAGGCAGTTTCACAGTGCTTACATGTCTCAGGAAGTGAAAGCGCCAGAG